TAATTTTTATTTAGAATGTCCAGAAATCGAGTATGGAGTTTTATAGCCCATCCAAAGTGCAATTTCAAATCGCTAAAACGTACCGTATAATTTTTAAATTTTTTGTTGAGTGTTTTGCGTTTTCTTCCTCACAACGCATGATCAAAAATTTTTTTATATGAAAGAAAATCAACGGAAGTTTTTAGCGCCTTTTGAAACTTGAACTTCATTACCCTTTATTAAAAATTGAATGGCCTACAAAACTACAAATTCGAAAATTGTCCAGAAACTCTGAAAAAAAAATTTTTAAATTTTGATGAAAATTTTTTGAATATTTGTGAACTTCATATAAAGTTTGAAACTTTGATTTACTATATGGTTTATATTATAGAATGAACTATATTTTAATAATAATTATTTATAATTAATGGAAAAAATTGTTCATGAAAATAATTGTGAATATTATATGATTACAAAGGGGTACACTTTAGTTTGACGCTCACAATATGTGTACGTATGTATGTATACCTGCATGCATTATTAAACAATGTAAGGTCTGCTTTAGCTATATAAACTCTTTTGACAATGAATTTTCTGCTTGAAATTATTCGGTGGCTTTTCAGTCTCAAAATGCGCACAAAAGAGAGGTATGTATCTAGCATTTCAGGTTTTGTTTGTTTTTCATTTTAGCCCCACCGGTGTTAATGAGTGAGACAGCTAATAGATTATAAACGATTCAGCAATGCGCAAAATAGCCTAGCAGACAATCGAATATACGTACACAACTGAAGTGCGAAAGAGAGATCTCCACATAACAGGTATACGCACAGGCAGACCTAGCTATTAATTAGAAAGAGACTGGAATATTATCGAATCGTAGAACTGCAAAACACGCAATTATCCGTCTCATTCGTAAACCACTGTGCTAAAACAGTCTGCTATTGTTTTTTATTCGGTGTAGTTTAAGGACATTTTGTTCGCTAAAATTACTAGTGAAATAAAAAAAAAAAACAAATAAAATAAATACAAATTTAACCACGGAAACTCAAATTCTCATTCGCGTCAATAAAGTTCAAAGATATTTATACTAAAAAGTCACCGTAATGATACGAACGCGAAAACGCCGGCGCTCAGCGGAGCCTGGGCAGCAAGCGGAAGCAAATGAGGTGGCAATCGTTCAGCCATCTATCGCCGCAAACTTCGCCGCTGCAGTCCCAACGGCTGCGCCAGCTGAGACTGAATTTCCACACTGGTTGAATGAAATAAAAGTGGAAGCATCAGACAGCGAAGCAGAATTTGTTAAAGAAGACGAAAGCACACTTGCCGATATCAAACCCGACATACACGAAATACAAAAACAATGCATACGCAGCCAACAATCACCACACGCGGAGAGAATGTCGACGCCGACGTCGCTGTTGGCTACATCAACACAGTCAGCAGCCGTGGCTGCGACGGCAGGGCAAGTGAATCTGAGTGGCGATTACGTGTTAGATATCGATAAACTTGTTGAAGATGTGTCGGCGCAGTCACTGAGAGAAGACTTTCAAATTAAAGTTAAAGATGAAATTATCGACGAAGAGAAACGAGAATCATCAGACAAATTAAAACCGTTAACTTTAAACCGATCTGATTTTAATTTTGTTGCGGATGAGATAGATATGCAGGAGACTGATTCGGATGAAGATGGCTATTCCGATGTCGACCTTGACGATGATTACGAACCTTTAGAGAGTGAGTCGAACTGATTTAAGATTGGAAACATTTTTTACCTTTGATATTTATTTGTTAGGCGATGAGATCGAAGACTTGTACGACCCAGAATGGTTTAATAGGCTAACAATGCCAAGGAGATTGTTCCCGGACCAAAATTACCAAGGGATACTAAAAGGTGGTACCAGTAGGAATTTGCATACGTTCTACTTTTATCACATCCTTGAAGGACAAAACTTCTTTGAAAGGGTGGCTGAATGCTGCAACAAACGTGCCGAAAAAATTAAAAAAGGCTCGCAGAGATGGAGCAACACATGCACCGAAGCTTTCACTTGGCAGGAGATTAGCATTTTTATCGGAATTTCCCTGCAAATGGGTTCAATGCAACTGCCAACATTGTCGGAATATTGGGAATGCCAGTCGCATCACGGTTTCAATGGGTTCTCTACAAAGATGACCTTGAATCGTTTTAAATTTCTTCTGGAAGCTTTGAACTTCGAATGCTTTCAAACTGAAAATTGTACATTCAATACCGAAGACATGGGGAATAGATTTGATGATTTGAAACCTCTTCTGAATTTTTTCAACAATCGAATGGAATCCATATACAGCTGCGGTCAAACTATAGTTCTGAATGAACCTCTTATTTATTGGAAAGGCAAGCTTAACCAGGCAAACGAAATGAGTAAGAAGTTTCGTAGGAATGCAGTTATGCTACACCTTTTGACGAAACAATCCGGTATGGTACTCAAGATATTAGCAGATATGGAGGGTTCAGAACAAAAGCAGATTTCTCGTAACCCTAAGGCCCAGGTTGTTCAACGATTATCGAAAGCAATAGAATTGCTGAAGGAAAAGTTTGGAAGAGGTAACTACAATTAAATATTATATAAATTTTACGTTGTATTTAATTTGCGACCTGTAGGTCATGTGGTTTTTACTTGCAAATATTACGGCAGCTACGCGCTTTGCTTGGAATTGGCTAAACTCGGAACCTATTGCTCGGGGTTTTTAGATAAAAATTGTTTTGGAAATAGCAAAGAATTGGTACTACAAAATTTAGGACAATATCAATTTGAAACCAGATATGCTGGCTATGTAATGATGGGCAAGAGTCGAAGACTCCGGAAAAATGTATATTTTTATAGTTCCGACTGTCTTGCTATTTACCGTAATGAAATGATCTTGAGCCATCAGCTGAAATTAGTGAAAGAGATCAGCTGGCAATTAGGCATTCCCGTGGAAATGCGTGCGGCTATGTTGGACTACCAATTACCTTTGGAACGCACGGAAATCAAGTGGGACAGACGGTTGATGATCTATGTCATACACCTGGTTTTACTCAACGCTTACTTACTCTATCAAAGCCATAATCAAAATCTACGGTCTACGAATAAACTGCCGATGTTTTTCAAACAGTTTCGGCAAGGAATTATTGCGTCGCTAGTACATCCCGATGAAAGTGGAAATATTGACAAGAAAAGTCCTGCAAATGAAAATCTGATAGATACTGCCACAACAATAAACAACTCAGAGCGCGATCCAAATCTGCATATACCGAGTCAACTGGATTTAAAAAAAGCAACACACCGTCCAATGGAAATACCATGTTCCAAGGGAAAACTAGTAAAGAAGCGTTGTAGAATTTGTTTTAAGACAGGTCTTTTGATTTTTTCGCAATTTTGTTGTGCTGAATGCCCCGGCATGCCGGGACTTTGCGAAAATCCTTGTTTCAAATTATGGCATGAATATATTGAATGAAAATGGCTACCGTGTATGAAGAGTTGTGCAAGAGAGAGGATACAAATTAATAAATCGCTATAAATTATCTATTTGGTAAAAGTTTAAATTTTTTCAATTTAATACGCTAATTAGAGAAGGATCGTTTTAACGTAAGAAAAATCTTTGTTTACCAAAAAAAAAAGCTGTTACGATATTCACCCTCATTGCGAGAGTCGTGTCGAATGCAAGTCGTTTTTCGAGAGTCGAAAAATTTCCACTCGACTAGTGTATTAAAACCGAAAAACTTGGCAGCACTGTATAGTTCTCGACGATTTTGGTCGTTTACTTATTTCAGTTCGACAATAGACAATGTGACTGTTGTCGAGTCGTACAACATAGTCTGATTTACGACTTACGCAATGAGGCTGATTGTTTGGGAACTACAAATGTGAGAAATTCGATTTTTGCCTTCTCCAACACTGAAATTCAGAAGCAGAAAATCGAAGTAACAATTTAATAAATACGAATATCTTACCTTGAGCATGCTTTTGACGCAGTTTGTTCAAAATATTAGTGGCATCGAAGCCGGCGTTGTCGCACAGTTGACGTGGAATCACCTCCAGAGCTTTGGCAATGGCAGCAATCAGCAGCTGTTCCTTTCCAGCGATGGTTCGCGAATAGTCCCGGAGAATTTTCGAGAGCTCCATTTCGATGGCGCCACCACCTAAAAATTTAAGAACACTTTTAAAATGTATGTATGTACATCAGCAATAATATGATTTTCAAATGAAAGGTTTTGTTTTTAAAGAGATCTTTACAAATTCTGACACTTATAATGTTCATAATCACGTGGCACATGCTTCAAATGTATTTTAGCATCCTAAATTTTTAAAAGGCATTATTTTTTAGTCTCCAAAACGATTTCATCGTAACCGAACACATTGACGTTCTTAACTCTTTATTCTTAATTGTATTATCTTTTACACGCAAAAGTATTTTGTTATTTTTCTGACCTACATTCAGTCGACCAAAGCGATTTTTATTGTATGCACTTTCATATGTACCCCACAGTGGCTCACGAAACTGAGCACGCTTTATTTCGTTGCAAATTTTATTCTGAATTCTGTATTGTATATTGACATCCGTTGGCAGTGCAGTAGATAATGGCAAGTAAATAAGAACAAGTTTTTGCAAGACTGAAGAATAGTCGCCTTGAATTATTGCCATCATAGATTCAATTGTGAAGTTTGTTCTTGACTGCGGAATGGAACAGAGAACTCAGCATACGACCGTGATGAGTTTTTTGACTCACTGTACATAAGCAAACGCACCGGCACTGTATAGGCTTTCAGAGGGAGAGCGACAAGCGAATGTAGTCAGTGGCCAACTGACGCTAACATTTAAAAAAAACGCACAGATGTCTATAAAAATACTGGAGTATAATAATGTTGCTTATATATACATATGTAGTGCATAATTATTGGCAGATTGGATGCGGTGTAGGTTGCCACTTAAAAAAAAAAAAATAGAATTTAGTTTATGCAGCAAAAAATATGAAGCAAAGAGATTTCGTGAATACTATTCAGGCGGGGGTAACAAAGAAATAAGGTCAATAATAACTGAATTTGGTTAATTAAACCTATACTTTATTAATAATTAGCCCTATTTGCGATTGTATCGTAAGCGACGTTGTAGCAACATAGTTTATATACATATATTGTCGCTTACATACATATCAGAATATTAATTTCTTGCGTAATAATTTAGCGTAAGCATTTGGTAGCAATATTTTGTATTCAAAGTAATACACCCCGCGACAAAAGATAGAACAGCAACATTTTTTACCAGTTTCCACTACTTTGCGTTTGCTTTTTTTTATTATTTTTATATAAAGGTATAGCATACCAAATGCTAAATAAATCTAAGTTTCAGACTTTGTACCAAAATTATAAAAATTTCACAAACTTTTCATCACAATTCCAAGCATTTTAATTCTAGTTTCTATAATAATTTTGGGTATGCAGTTGTATAGCTTATCAAATTTTAGTATAATAAAGTGCAAGTTTTTTGCTGACGGTACCACGCATTTTCTTCCATACAAAGCAATTTTTTATATGGAAAAGAGCGCATAACACCGTCGCAAAAAAATTATCAAAAATCAGCGCGATTTTTTAGCAACTTACACTTGCACTTATACTAGAATTTAATAAGCTATAAAACTGCATATCAAAAATTACCCTAAAACTTAAAATTAAAATGCTTGGAATTGCGATGAAAAGTTTGTAGAATTTTCATAATTTTTGTACAAAGTCTGAAATTTAGATTTATATGGTATTTGTTAGATTAAGAGCTATACTTTTATATAAAAACAAACGAACCTTAAAAAATGCAAAAGTAAAGTAGTCAAAACTGGTAAAAATGTTGATGTGCTATCTTTTGTTGCGGAGTGTAAATATTAATAAAAAAAAAGGGCTCTGATGTCCCAATTCAGTCACAACAATCTGACCGCGTCTAATTAAAACTTTGGGAGCCTCCTTAAAAATGAATTGAATGGACTGACTTAGCGCTGACTGAATTGCCGACTGAGGCGGCCAAATGGATAGCTGAGTCATCCAATCAAATGCAAATTAAATAAATGTCAATCATTATAGTGAGGTGCATTTGAATGAATTAAAATGAACAAATAATTTAAAAATAGAAAAATCAATTCGAAAACTTGCAGTGAACAATTTGCATTTGTTTATTCGAAGAAAACGTAAGTTGTAAGTAAGTAATTATTATTCGAAAAGGAGGATAAAAAAGTCAAAGTTATACGGTGCATTTTTTAATTGCAAGGCGAAGCGTCGTCAAATGAAAACAGTGTTTACAGGTAACCAAAAAAAAAAAAAAATTAATAAATAAAAATGGATGTTTGCAGTTGATTGCATTTGATTTGCTAGAGATGAGCGCAGAGTGTCAAAGCGATATGTAGGCTGAACCGCACAAATTTTCGCATAGAACGTGTGGCCCATTTATAAACCGTGACCATGCCGCATTTAATGAAGTTGCAATACATCCTTGGCATTTACTGCCGGTTTCACCAGCAATTTAAGTGAAATATTTTTGTTTTCTAGTTTTCATAATAAGGCATATTCTTGTATTCGTACGAATCAGAAACTTAAATTTTTTCATCACTTTTCTATAAAAAAATATATACATACATATCGTCGATGCCTTTGCAAAACCGCCTATCTTACGGCACCCAAATTTTACAGGAGAGCGAAAAAATGAATGAATTTGAAGGCATTGCTTTGGTAGGCGGTATTTTCTCTAGCTATTATTTTACAAATCTGTTATTTTATTAACGATTTTACTATTTTTATGCATAAATCTCGATGTCTGGAGTTCGGGGTTACCAAACTTCATTTTTGTCACAACAGCGATTTAGGCGGTTTTGCAGCTGGTCGATGGGCAGATTTGCAAAAACATCGACGATATGTATTAAAAAAGCCATACTTCGTATAAACAAAAAATAAGCAATTGATTTTCCCTAAAATTCCAGAAACAAATTTGAGTAAAAGCGCTGCAATTTTCAGAAAAAGCAATTTCTTAGTTTTTATTCATAAGGGCCAATAATAATATGATAAAATATTAACAATTTTTGTTTCGAACATAAAAAAACACATTCAAGCTTTCGAATGTCGCTTTTGTAAATAAAAAAAAGGTTGTAAGTATCTCAATCAACAGTTTTGCAATTCTATTTAAGTTTTATTATTGTTTTCAACATTTTCACCTCACCCAGTCTTTCTAAGCTAAGTGTTATTGAAATCGATCGTTTCAAAGACGCTTGGCCATTGCACTCACCGAAGCACAGTTGCATTGCAATAGCTTCTTAGAAGGCGATAGTAGAAAAAAACATACATAATATATACTTACATAGTTATAATAAAAATGCATACATATGTAAGTAATTTGTCGCGCATTGAGATAAGTTAAAGCCAAGTAGGTAAACACATTCCATTGTTAGTTTGCCGAGTCGATTTCGCTGCGATGTTGATGAATAGTTGTTGGTGTTGGGAAACTTGCTAACAACGTAAATAACTGCTTTGAGAACAAAGTAGCCATTATTAGAAAAAAATGCAATAAAAACCAGAAAAGCAATGCTACCAACAATAGACAAAGCCAGTGTGCCAGTGTGCCCAGCAGGTAAAAAATTATATTTACATAAAAGAATTTTTTTTTTTAACGTATCAGTCTCCAAATAATTTAAACGCGGATGCGCAGAGGCCCGAAAATATGTTTTGGTAATTTAGCAGAAGAAGTAAATATTAGCAAACATTTTTATAATTTAGGCATATTTTCAACAAAGATTAGTTTGTCTTAATTTTTTCAGACATCTACTTAACGTTTTAGCAATAAATTTTTTTTTTCTGAAATACCAGGTATTTCCTGCAGGTACTGTGAACTTTAAAAACGTTGCCGCGGCGGCGGTATGTAGGTACATATATGCCGCGAAACAGACTAAACCAGGCATTCGACAAAGAGACAAGTCAGCAGCAATGTTGCTTTCCATTATTAAATATGTACATACATACATATATACATACAAACATAAATATGTATATACATAAATACGCACAATGTTTTTTTTTTTTTTACATTCATGCGTAAGTGCATGAATAAATATACTATTTGTACGTATGTACATACTATGTACGCTCATGCGATCGCTCGGAGGGTCAATAAACTTGCCATGGACACAGAAACTGCATTTTGCACAACAATATTCCCAACAAACATCAAAGTAAACACGTTTATTGCTCAGTGTTCCCCACAATTGTTTCTGTTTGGTTTTCAACACTTTTCAAACTACTAAGTAGTTTGCGAACCTAACAGTTTTTTTTTTTTACAATTTTATGAATGGAGAGCCGCCCCAGCCTAGAGGTTATTGGCGACGAGAAACTCGCGTAGCGATTGTTAGAATTCCCCTGCTGGATACAGCAGACGACTGAACTCGGCTTCGTCTAGTTTCGACCCCGACATACTTAATATATACATATATGTCCAGCTTGAGAAAGTTCCCCCGATAGCACCGACTATGTGTTCCCCTGTCCACTTTAACCCACTCAGCTAACAGCCCTCTCTCAT